ATATGATTTTGATGATGTGTCAACGTGGACAAATGACTGGAAAAATCAATGAGGGTTGATTAATTTCAATGATTGATCAAATCAATGAAAGTAAGAATGAAACTAAAGTCACTTTAATGCATAAAGGAGACGATGAATTAGATGATATTAATATTGATGATCTTTAACTTCAACTCTTTTCATTCATTTTTATATAATATTTCTTATTATCATAATACATCTATTATAATAATAAAAGAAATCACTTTCATTTAGAATTGATTTACTCATAAGAATTTACTCTAAGGATATGATAATAACAATAGTGTTCAGATAGAAAGAAAGTACATTCAATCTTTTTCAATAAAAATAAAGAAATTATCACAAAATAAAAAGAGAAAAAATTTAAATAAAAAACTGAAAAAGAGAAAAATAAGAATGTTACCTTACACAGAAAACATTATTCAAAAACCATCTGAATACACTTACTTTAAATTCAGTCAAAAAACACAAGAACGAATATATGAAGATGAACAAAATCGAATTCTTATTGATGAAGAATCTCTTCCATCAACAGCATTTTTTACTTTTTTTAATTCTCAAAATATTGTTAATTCAATTAATTTTAGTGATGATGGTCATTTAATTTCTATTGGATGTTCAGATTCATCAATTCGGTTATATGACTTTAAAAAAACACAAATTGTTAATGGAATGAATCCACAAGCAAAATTACTAGGTCATTGTGGTCCTGTGTTTAGTACTAATAATTCACCTGATTTTAAATGGCTTGTAAGTGGTTCAGAAGATTGTTCAGTAAGACTTTGGTCATTAGATTATCCATCTTGTATCATGTCATTTAATGTTTGTGTATTAATATAATAATAATTTGTATAAACAAAAAACATTTATTTATTAGGAACATGATGGACCAGTTTGGGATGTACAGTATTGTCCATTAGAATATTATATGTTGAGTTCATCATATGATAGAACAGCTAGATTATGGACATCTAAACAAAATAAAAGTGTAC